GCTGTTGTGCATAGGGTCGCTATGAGTTGCAAATGACTCGACGGCACATAACGACAACAACAACAAGCACCTAAAAATATTATAAAAGAGAAAAAAAAACCAGGAAGGTATACAATTTGTTAAAATATGCTACTTTTAAAATAATTTGGCCTGGTGACAAAGAGCTGTGCTGTAATCATGACGGCACGTGGTTTGAAACGACCAGCAGCTCCCCAGGAGATGGATGGCCAGTCTCCTTCTGTGCTATTAACTGCCTCTGAAAACTCACTGGAGGGTCAGCTCTGGGTCAACAGTAAACAAGAACAACAGCAGCAATAGTTATTATCAGTATAGTGCCTTCTCATATGTCTGGCACCAGCAGAAAAGTTCCAGAAATTCGAATGAAATGCCACTTCAAGACAATTGAATGCATAGTTTTTTTTTAAAAAAGTCTTTGGCTTAAAAATACCTGTTTTCTCCATTTTGGAAGCTAGAAGTTTGAGTTCAGGATCTGTAGGGAGTTGAACGGCTAATCCAATGGCATACCTCTCTGGTGGTTTGAATCCTCTAGTACTTCCCTTCCTGGGATTTATAATCTCAGAAACCCAGTGGGGTTTGTTCAGAGATTCTGGGCGAAGACTCTTGAGGGGAAGGTCCTTGTCTCTTTAGTTACAGCTCCTCAGCAGTCTTTATGTCAGTTGACATCAGTCTTCCCCTGTGTCTAGGAGATTCTCAGTGAAGGGACCCCAGGTCTGCTCTGCTCTACTCCTGACTCTTGGTGGTAGTTAGGTGCCTTGAGATCTTTATTTCAGACCACTGCAAAGAAAAATTTGGAAAACTGTGAAGGACATTCTAGTGAAAGAGTTACACATTAATCAAAGTAAATAGAAAATTGTCACTATGATAAAGTCTAAGAAGGAATGGAGTCTTGCAAGAGGAGTCAAAAAAGGCATTCATCAGGAAGTGGTAATTACTAGGATCTCAAGATTTTATACAAACACGCACACACATACTCTTTTCTCTCTTTTGTACTACAGTCTCTATATGTGCACATGCTTTGGGCATATTGCCAGGAGAGGCTTTCCCTTGGATAGGGACATCGTGCCTAAAAAGGTAGAAGGATGATGAAAGCGAGGAAGACTCTGAATCAGATGAATTGACGTGGTGACCACTGCATTGGGCTCCAGTGTGTCAGAGATGATGAGGGCGACACCAGGATAGGACAGGGTTCAGTCTGCCATTCATAGGATTGCTGTGAGTTGTACTTGACTTGCCAGCACTGAAAACAACAACATACACATTTCCAGGGCTTAATCCCAGTAATAAAATGAAACACAGTCAGTCTCTTCAATCACAGTAATTACCTTTAAAATCTTTGATGAGGCTCTGTAATGAATGTATAATACTATACTGAATAAAAGATCTGTACTTGAAGCAGGAACTCTGAAAATGTCTTGAGCAAAATGCACATGACCATAGTGGTTCCTTTGTGGTTTCTGTAATCTGTGTCATTTAAGAGTTGTAACTCTTGACAGAGAAAATGCTCACACTCAGCATATTATTCCCATAGTTTGTATCATTTAATAGCTTTCCTATATCTTTATTGTTGAAGAAAAAAAATAAACTCCACACTATCTTTGGACACATGCTCTTTTATTTGCATGCAGATTCTCATTGAATTTTGTGCAGGAGGAGCAGTGGATGCTGTGATGCTCGGTAAGTACTTTTTATTCTTTAATATATAGTGAATAGAAAGTAAGTAACTGAAAACATTTATCATATAGCTTACTGCTGAGTGAAGTTTAGTAAATGGAATCAACTTAATAATCTTATATTTTTTAGATAATTGTTCTCAAATTCAAAAATTACTCTATTGAGTAGAAGATGGCAGGAAAGCCATCTTTATGGATATTTAGTTCTTCGAAACAAATTCTTTGTGATTTTTTTTAAAAATTAAATTTTATTAATTTTAATGAACATTTACAGAGATTTTGGGTTTCCATTCATTCATTGTTGCACTATTTTCTCTACCCTCCTCCCCAGTTCGTTCCTCTCCCCCCCTTGAAAGTCTGTTTTAATTGTCCAATTGCCACAGTGCTTGTCAAAGCCAGTTCTGATTAATCTCCTTTGTCAGTGTGTCCTTTGCCATTCCCTATCACTCCTCCCTGAGAGAGACTTCACCCTGATTCATAAGGAAAAGGGGATGGCGTATTCTCTTAGCTACTTCCTGCTGAAAAGGGACGCTGTGGGTTTCAGGGTGAAGATCTTCTCTCACTACTACAAAGGGCCCCTTTGGTAGCTTGCTCATGTGATTTGTTGTGTTAAAATGTGAATGTGTTTGCTTTTTCCTTATAGAACTTGAGAGACCATTAACTGAGTCGCAAATACAAGTAGTTTGTAAACAGACTTTAGAGGCATTAAACTACTTACATGATAATAAAATTATCCACAGAGATCTGAAGGCCAGCAGCATTCTTTTTACTTTAGATGGAGATATTAAATTGGGTAAGTTTAGTTATTTAAATAAAGTGTTCATATTTGTGCTTTCAAATCTTTTTCCCATACACATGTGATTTACGGTTTTGTGATTCATTTTCAAATATATGAAACATTAAGAATGATTTCATGAAAAATTTTTAAAACTCTCCATTGGGTAAATAATTATCCATTAGCTTCCAAGATTGCTAAAGACAGGCATCTAGTAGAAAGGCATTTTATACTTTCTCCCTTTTTAATTGTGAGTTGAGTGAAAATTTAGAACTCATACTGTTTTTTCAATCATTCATATCCAGTTTAATTTTGTAACAATTCTCATATTCATAATTTATGATCATTCACTTATTGTATGTTGCCTTTCCTTTATCTGTCTTAATCCTATTTATTAATTTCCTATCACTGGTAATCAACCAAAAATGATTCTGTGACCCTTTCTTTAGCTTTTTATAAATGGTTTTATAGACTTCTTGTCCTTTTATGACTGACTTACTTCACTTAGCGTAATATCCTTTAGAATCATCCATGTTATATAGTGTTTCCCAAATTCCTTATCATTTTTTAGTGTCGAATAGTACTCTGTTGTGTAATTGTACTAATGGTTTCTTAAGCCATTCATCCATTATTGGACACTTGGGTTGTTTTAATCTCTTTGATATTATATATAAAGGCATTTTAAAGTCAAGGTAAGAATGGAAGATTTTTATTTTAAAAAACATGCTTTATAAAGGCTGATTACAGTTTTTCCCCCTTAAATTTTCATGTGTAGACTTAATGCTTCTATTAGCGCCATGCTCTAACCAACTGAGCTAACCCAGCTGCTGGCTTAATGCTAAATATAGCCTGTTTAGAATAAAATATATGAAATTGCTAGTTCAGCTTTATAGAATCTGATTTTCATTTCTAAGACTGAAGTTGATGTTATTTTTCACTCATGTCTGGCTTGAAACTGTGTTCCATTGATGGGATTTCATACTTGCTGTGAGTGCACCCCTGCCGTGGTGATCCTGTGTGTGTCCTAGGACAGCAGTGCCTCACAGGCTTCTCAATGGCTGATTTTTTTCCGAGTAGATCTTTAGGACTTAATTCCAAGGTACTTCAAGGTAGACATGATCCTGCAACCATTTGGTTAGCATCCAAGTGTATTAATGCTTTGTACCGCTGAGGGACTCCACAGAAATGGTACCTTGACTAACCTAACAAAATAACCGTATATCTGAAACTTGGACTTTTCTATTGTTGTAGACTCAGAACAGTTCATAGCTGACCCTCCGTTGGGTTTTTGAGGCTGGTATGCACATGGGCAGAAGAAAAGATGCCCGTCTTTCTCCCTTGGAGCCTGCTGGTAGATTTGAACTGCCAGAGAGGCTGGGCCTTTTGTATTTGTTGAATTCTGAAGATTCTCTGTGGAACGTCAGATAGGAAGCTAGTATTTTATATGCTGCCTGAGTAAGTCTGTGGTGCAGTAGCACTTTTTGGAACCCTCATGGTGCAGTAATTAAGCACTTGGCTACTGACTGGAAAGATCCCCATCAGCTCCGTGGGATAAGGCATCTGACTGTCTGCTCCTGTAAAGTTTGTTATTGGGTGCCCCCAAGGCGCCTCTGACTCGTGATTCTATGCAGCAGAATGAAACCCCGCCCAGCCCTGTGCCTTCCTCACAGTCTCTGCTGTGCTCAGCCCATAGTTGCAGTCACTGTGTCCATTTCTTTGAGGGTCTTCTCTTCTTTTCTCCTCTACTTGGTCAAGCATGTCCTTCGCTAGGGACGGACCCTCCTCAGAAAACCATCTTTGCATTGAAGCAGCACTCTGACTGCACTTCTTAGAAAATTCCTTGAGGCATGTCTGCTCTTTGACCTGGGGTCATTTGGCTGCACTCATCAGTAGTACTTTCTGCTACTACCAATGGCTAGCTAGGCTCCATGGTAAAAAGGTAGGGTTTTCAACCAGTAAGTACTGGTATCCTCTGCAATTTAAATCAGATTACATATGGTTCCCCATATTATTCTTTGTAGTATAATTTTATGAGGAAGTAAGACATGTGCTGAGCCATGAAGGGCTGTTTCTGGTTTTCACACTACAGAAAATGTTCTCATGCCTGTTGTTGTAATTGAAATATGAACATGTTTTGCCATTTGTTTGAAGTAGACTGTTTTCTACTTTAAAGTCCCCCCCCCTGCAGTTTTTGGAGTTTCTTTTTTGTTTCTATTTTGGAGTATTTGTAATCTCAAGATGCCCACAAAACAGTGTATTTCTTATGGAATATTTTATTTGGAAAATTTGTTTTGGTAAAGGGGAGGAAATTGATAGAGGTTGTGAAGATGATGTGCTTTATTTTGCTTCCCTTAAGAATTGCTTTATTAAAGTCTTGAAATGCTCTTCCTTCCTTTCTCTTTGTAAAATACAGTAAATTGTTTTTAAAAGATGCCATTAATGTTTTTGTATGATTATTTATTTCAAGCGGATTTTGGCGTATCAGCTAAAAACACAAGGACAATTCAAAGGAGAGATTCCTTTATTGGTACACCCTACTGGTATGTATGCACTTTTATGAATGACAGTATTAGTCATGTCAGTCATTATTATTACTCATTCCTGTTGCCTGTATAATTGAATGTACTGAATTGTCTTTTATGTGGTTTGCAATTGATCTTAAATTAACCGTCTTAACTTTCATTTCTATCTCTCTATAGGATGGCTCCTGAAGTAGTCATGTGTGAAACGTCTAAGGACAGACCATATGACTACAAAGCTGATGTCTGGTCCCTGGGTGTCACTTTAATAGAAATGGCTGAGATTGAACCACCTCACCATGAATTAAATCCAATGAGAGTGCTGCTGAAGATAGCAAAGTCTGAGCCCCCTACATTAGCACAGCCTTCAAGATGGTAAGCTATTCTAAGCCAAGCTCACTATGCGAATTTCCAGGGATGTTTAAGTATATAGTACAAAGATATGAATTAGAATACTGAATTTTGTTAGGTTTTCAAGACATACACATTTTTACAACCAAGCTTTCCCTTTTGAAAATAGGGTAGATTTGGGTTTAGCAAACAAGAGTTATTTTCTGTAGCTGAGACGAGGAAGCAGCATATGGTATAAATTTAAGATAAAAGGAAACATCCGGTGATTTTGGTATTCTTATGGACATCTAGCTGTATCCCAAGACTGTAATGGCAAACATGTATTTGTAGATCAAGAGATAAGATTTTTTTAAAATTGTTATTGTTGTTACATTGTGTTGTGTAGTAAGATCTTAACATTCTCATTGCTTTATTTTCATATGTTGAATTAATACTCCTAATTAATGGAAAAGGTGTAATTTTTCAAGGTGCTTGGTTTGTTTTTATTAACAAGAAGGTAAAATAGAATGTCTTTGTTAAAATTATATTTTGAAGGTCTTCAAATTTTAAGGACTTTCTAAAGAAATGCTTGGAAAAGAATGTGGATGCCAGGTGGACTACAGCTCAGTTATTGCAGGTAAGATGAGATTCATGTGACAGCAGCAAATCATGTGCCTATATATTTCATATCTCTGTAAATAGAAAATAGTTTCCAATTTCTTTCTTTGGGAGGTGAAAGTAAAGGCAGTTTATTAAAAAAGATACGTCTCGGAGAGAGGGATGGGCCATTCCCCAAAAAATAATAAAGAAGATATCAGATTCATTTAGCATGCTCCATTTACATTTGAGTTTCCTTGTGGACATACACACAGAATGACAGTTTCTATTAGATTGAGTTATTATATAGTTTGTGTTACTGTGTTTTAGGTTGACCAATTTTTCTTGGGAGAAAAGTCATGCAGTGGTGTCTTGCTGCATGCAACAAGTCCATCTGTGGAACCCACTTTGTTCACTGTCTCTACTTTTGAAGATGTTGGTCTGTGACAGAAATTGTTATGTGTTAAGGGTACAGAGATGAATAAAATATATTCTTACAGTCAGGACTTTTAGGATCATGGTAAATACGCAAATGCTTATGGATACTTTTAATAGAACACTAAAGCCTTTTGTGATTCATTTATTAAAGCCTTGGCAGGATTTCTAGAAATTGTTACTTTTTAAGAACAATGAAAATACTGCATTTGTTTGTTGACACATTCCAGTTGATATTTTGTAAATTCCTGATTTCACTGGGTTTTCACCATGGCTTTATTCCTGCTTTGCCATCTTCCTTCAAGACTATCAGGACCATTGCTCTTGATCATAGGTGGCCTCCTGAGACAGCTGAATGTTGACTAGTTCTTTTGGTAGAGGGATGCTGAGTGTTCCTTTCATTCTTTTCCTGCTTCCTGAGTCATCCAGTGGTTTGCCCATAGAATCCTTTTAGTACTACAACTTGAGGCTTGATTGTTTTTTCTTCCCTTTTTTTCAGTTTGAGAAATGCAAAGTGTATTCCTTTTGAATTTCTATTTCCAGATCTTTGACCATTTAATATATTCATTACTTTGCCTTCTTGACCTGCCCTTTGAACTGCCTTCTTTTAGTGATTCTGTGTTCAGGATCCTGTTTCAGAATGTCTTTTGACATTCTTTTTGGTTTTTTCCCTTTGTTTCTTGTTTCATATGACCAATTGATGGTCTTTTTCACAGTTGACCACTGGCTTTGTTCTCACTAATGATATGGACCTGTCTCTTTCCACAAGGGTAGTTGGTTTGATTTCTGTGGATTTCATTTGACAACATGTATCATTCCATTTATTTTGTTGAAAAAAGATACTTGCAGTGACTAAGTCATGGGTCTTGCAAAATTCTGTCTCCATCTCTAGATTGTTTCTATCACCCAAATGATATTTGTCAGTTTCTGTTTCCAGGTTTTGTGTTCCAATCAGCAAAGATTATCAAAACATTTTGATTATATGTGTGGCTAATTTTAGACCTCAGAATTTGGTAAAAATCCTCAATTTCATTATCTTTGGCATTAATAGTTGGTCCACAAGTTTGAATAACAATCATGTTAAGAGGTCTTCCTTTAGGTTTATGTATATTATCTTATGTATATTATCTTATCACTGACCTCATTATACTTCATTCAGTATCATCCTTGACATGTTCATATCGAGGATCTGATGGCATTCCTCTTTAGTTTGCTTTCCTGGCATAGTAGACAATGTGATTGTCTGATTTGATTCAGAATGACCAACACCATTTCATTTGAGCTTGCCAGGGAGATAGCGCTTCGTGTGTTGCATTTCATTTTTTGATGACTTGCCATCTTCCTGCTTGTGCATTCCACTTTCTGGTTACTAATGGATGTTTCCAGCTGTTTCTTTTCACTTTTGAGTCTTGTCCTGTCAGCAGATGATAGCTGTGCGGGCTGTCCTTCAGCCATCCCACTGAGGTGGACTCTCCTCTGAGGGGGCAGCTCTTCCCCGGTGGCATTTTGAGTGCCTCTCAACCAGAAGGGCTCGTTTTCTGGCAGTATGTCACATGTTTTACTGCTATTCCTAAAGTTTTTTTACTGGTCATATTTTCCAAAAGCAGGTTACCAGTTCTTCCTGCCTAGTCTCTTTTAGCCTGAGCCATGGGTGACCAGGCTGGTATTTGAAATACTGGTGTCATTGCTTCCAGCATCCCAGCATGTAAATCACCTGTAAACCACCATTGTGACAAACTTGACAGATGAATGATGGATTTTCAAGAGCAGAATATGAAATTTAAAAATATATAAAGAAGTATTATTGTTGAGTACCATAGAGTCAGAACCAACCCATTGCTGACCCTCCAGCAGGTCTTCAGAGGCAGTTAATTGCATGGGAGGAGCGGAGCGGCTGGTGTTATTGAACTGCATGCCTTCAAGATTGCAGTGCAGCTTCTTAACCACTAGGTCACCACAGCTCCCTTTAAAGAAGCATAAGTACCTGTTACCCAGATTGAATACATGTTACCATTTTTGTATCTGTCCTTCAGATTCTTTAGAAAACAGTTTATCCTGAAGGCATGTAGTTTGAATCCATCAGATGCTCCTCTGGAGAAGGAGGGGCAATCTCCTCCTGTGCCAGGTGGATCTGATTTGATGGTACACAGCAACAACAACAAAAAGTTATTAAAAAGAAAAAAGTTTAGATACAGTTTCATGCTGCCCCTATAGTGCAGGGGTCCAAGGTCCTCCTTTTACTTCTTTCCTAGAAGAAGCATCTAATGTTACTCATAAATGTCCTGTCCATACATTTACTTTTGTACCACATTCAAAGTCAATGTCATTACTCTAAAGTCTGTTCCAACTCAGAGTAACTCCCTAGGACAGAGTGGAATTGCTCCAAAGAGTTTCCACATTACACTTGAGTATTCGATGTCTTTGAAACTTACTTGAGTATGCTGCTTTTTAATGATCCACAGCATCCTTTCGTTACCGTCGATTCCAATAAACCAATCCGAGAATTGATTGCTGAGGCAAAGGCCGAAGTGACAGAAGAGGTTGAAGATGGTAAAGATGATGATGAGGAGGAGGAAACAGAAAATTCTCTGGTTAGTATTTAGAAGGGAAATATCATTGAAGTAATTTAGAGTTCCTTTAAGAATTGCTTAAACTCATGCTCTGTCAGTTGTACTGCTTACTTTTTTTTTGCTTACTTTTAAAAATACCATTGATCTTTAAAGTATGTTTTAAACGTAACATAAATTATCTTGCCATGTGAAATGATTCACTAATGAAAATGAATAATACTGAAAAGGACTTTTTACCCGGGGAGAATTTTAAAACGGTTGTAGATATAATTCATTATGAGCTGTCAGAAATAAACATTTTAGTTATTAAATGGTTGGCCTGTAGACATGCATGGAAATAAGGTTATCTTTGCAAACATTTTGTCATGTTTTAAAATGGAAACCTGACATGATGTTTGTGCCTTTCGGTATTAGTTGCTAACTAGAATTTGCTGTCTTCATTTGAAGCAGTGCCTAAAAGTCGTTGCTGTTGACTGCAGCTCTCAATAAGACAGTAGTTGTCCCTAACCTTTAATTTAAGAGACAGAGTTGATTAACTAGACTGCTCCTCATTAGCCATTTTTAGTTTAAGATTTTTAATTTGCTAAATTATTTTAATACCTTCTTACTGAATGAAGATATTGCATCATTTTTCACACACACACATACACATAAGTAATGAAACCTCATTTTGATTACCGTCTTGGCATCATGATTTCACACTACAAATGTATACCTGATAGTTGTCCAGTCACTATATATTAATAATGCTTTTACTTATTCTTTTTTTTTTTTAATTTTTTAGCCAATACCTGCAAGTAAGCGTGCCTCTTCTGACCTTAGTATTGCCAGCTCTGAAGAAGATAAACTTTCACAGAATGCTTGTAGTCTGGAATCCGTCTCGGAAAAAAGAGAGCGTCCGACTTCTGGAGATAAATTCAGCAGCAAAATTCTTGATGAAAAACCCACTGCTGATGAACCTGAGAAAGCAGTGGAGGGCGTTAATGAACGTGCTGATGGTTCCCAGTCGGAAGCTGCAGTTGAACTTCAAGCTAAAACAACACTGATCGAAGAGAGTGAGAGACAAGAGAAGAGGCCCCGGCTTGAAAAGCTGCCTGATGCAGACCAGGCGACCGTGGGTGTGAATTCAGTCAATGAAGGAAAAGAGGAGAACATAGTAGTAGCTTTAGAAACAAGTATAGAGCATGATCTGAAACCTAAGGAAGAAAGGAATCAGGAAAAGCAACCAGTAATTGAAAATCAGCTTATAAAATCTGATGACATTAAAGATACTGCCGTTCAAACCAAGGATTTAGTTTCTCAAGAGACTGGAGAAAAAGAGGCAGGTATTCAGGCAGTTGACAGTGAAGTTAAGCTTATGAAAGACGACACCCAGGAGACGGTGGGAGATGATAAAACTCCGAAAGATGTGGTCAGCGATGTAAGCAGCGTGGCAGGAACCAATGAGTTGGTAGGCGCTGCTCGGCAGACAGTTGAAAACAAAGCTGAGGATTCTCAGAGCAATGATGGGAAGGAAGTGGTTGACACAGACCAGGAGTTCATCATCAGGCCCAAGGAGGGGCTTGAGACTGGCAGCACTGAGGAAGTTCTTAGTAAAGAAAGAATCGAGACTAATGAGAGAGCTGAGAAATCTTCAGAAAGTAAAAGTGAGGAACCACTAGTCAACAGTTCTGAGAAGATAGTGGTGACCAGTGAGGAGCCAGGGGCAAATGAAGTTGAGGAAATCACTGAATCAAGTAGCCCTGGAGAAACAGAGGTCAGAAGTGCAGTGATTGATATGGCTCAGAAGACTTTGGGAAGTGAAACTGGGGATGTTCATCAAGCCACTGCTCAGACGGACACAAAACAAGAAGAAATCCCATGTGACGTGCCAATTAAAACAGAACCTCAAGTTCCAATAGCTTCACAGCCCAGCAAACCTCAGCCTGTTCTAATACCCAGTATTAACATCAACTCTGAAGATGCAGAAAACAAAGGCGAAATTGGTGCTTTATCAAAAACTGAAATTATGTTGCTGCCGGAATCTGAAAATCATAAGGAGAATGATACTGATTCAGGCACTGGTTCTACTGCTGATAATAGCAGCATTGACTTGAATTTATCCATCTCCAGTTTCCTAAGCAAAACGAAAGACAGTGGGTCAATGTCTTTACAAGTAAGTGCACTTGCATCCTGGCTTGGTTTTTTTCTGCTTTGTCATTTTTGGCAATTTAGAGTTTATGTGAACTGATGTTTTGAAAATAAAACCTCACTGAACCACTGTAGTGTTAATTAAACCTTGTAAACTTTTCTCAGGCCTGTGGAGATGTGACTTAAAGAACCAAGCAGAGAAATTGTGACTGTAAACTTGGAGTCTTTTCTGCGGACCTGTGTGATCTGCTGTAGAGATGCAATCTTTTTTGTAGTGTTAAAGTTAATGTATAGCAATGAAGGAGGTCCGTTAATATCATTATTTCCAGTTTAAAAGATTATGCATTTCCAGTCCTAGTACTGCCAAAGGAAAAAAGCAGTCTGCCTTAGAAGAAGTGCAGAATGGCTTAACTTTGTGATTTTTGTCAAAACGCGCAGTCCTTGGAGACAGACACCACACTTGGTAAAGTAGCAGGCCATTGACAGGAGAAGCCTCAGTGAGGCACATAGACGCGGTTGTGACAACAGTGGCCCGTGCAGATTGGCGACCGTGAGGGTGGTGTAGAGCCGGGCACGGTCTTCCTTCTGGCAAGAAGTAGATAGTCCTGGTTGTTGTTGCTGATTGCCGTTGAGTCGAGGATGACTCATAGCGAGCCCATGAATACAGGCCTGAAACCCTTTCACAGCCATCACTGTTTATCGAAGTTCAGAGAGTTTCCGGAGGCATGCTGTTTAGGAAGTGGATGCCAGTCCTGGTAGTGCTTAAAAACCACCCGAGAATCTTTTTCAAAATACAAATTTCCACGCCCCCAAAAGAGTTTTTAAGGCTTGAACTCCAGGAATTTCTTTTGAATATTTTTGCCAGTAATTAGGAAACTGTGAAAACCAGTATATCTGATAATTCACAGTGTGAAAAAAGGAAGGGAAAAAAACCCCAAACCCAATTCTACTGTAAAATGTGTAGTAATTAGTCATTTGTGTGAATTGCTCATTACCGCTGTGTCTGTCATGTAGGACAGTAACAGTTATGCATTTACATCATCAAAATGGATTGTTTTTGAAGAGTTTTTACATCATTTACTAAATTGTGTAAAGGAGACAAGGTTTACTGTGACATAGCTAATTCCAGAGATGAGCTGTTGCTCGGTGCTGTGGAGCCAGTTCTGGTGTGTGGGGCCCGTGTGGCAGAACACAGCTGTCCTGCAGGAGTCTTTGGCTTATGAACGAAGCAAATTGCCAAATCTTCCTCCTGCAGAGTGACAGGGTGGATTCGAACCAACATTCTTTAGGTTAGCAGTGAAGTGCTTAACCTTTGTGCCACCAGTACTTCTCTACACTTGAGTATTATTGTTTTGTGTTCATACTTGATAATGGCATATTCATAGTCTCCGTGGCTGTTTGGGTTTTAAAAAGACTATATTTTTCAGCTCTTAACATTCCCTGTAAAGACTAATTAAAATAAAATCTCACTTAGGAAACAAGAAGACAAAAGAAAACATTGAAGAAAACACGCAAATTTGTTGTTGATGGTGTTGAAGTGAGTGTAACAACATCGAAGATAGTTACAGATAGTGATTCCAAAACTGAAGAATTGAGATTTCTTAGGTGAGTCGAGAAACAACATAATTAACAGTACTTGTGACTTCCTTTCAGCTTCTGCAAACTCTGAAAAATGGAGGAACTGGGGTAAACTCCTGACTGATTTTG